CACCACCTCCACCACTGCCAACCGCAAACATAAAGTACCAGTTGTTAGTGTTTCAACAAGTAGACAACAATGTACCACAAGGACAAAATAACCGTTTATTTTGAAAGTCATTCTTCCTTATATATACGTCATAACGAGGCTAGCGCGCACACTAGTACCGAGGCTACCTAGCCTATCATAGAGTTACAGGATTTAGCATCCTCTTGTCGTATAAAAAAAATAAGATAAAAAATAAAAAAATCCTCTTGTCATATTTATGATTCGCCCAGAGATCTTCCTTGAGGATATGGCTATTTGATCCTAGCTAGTGATGCGGACCAACATCAATTTACAAAGGCCTTGGCATTACACATTGAAGCATGCAATTCTATCGACCCAGGTAGTATCTATAGGTCCCGATATATCCTGGGGTATCTACATATCCCGATATTAAACTACAATGAAAAGATGCTAGCCCTGTCATGGGTATGTCACTTAGGGCCCCGGTAGTAGCGTCCAAGGCCAAAGGCCCCTCGCAAGAAATAGAATTTATGGGGATTGTTTTAGATAGCATTCGCATGGAGGCCCGTACACACATATAAAATAGGGGTTCTGGCGCAGTGCTCACGCACACAGTGCAAGCGTAACGCAACTCCTCATCTGAAGATTCAGAGTTGCGTTATGTTTGCACTGTGTGCGTTCGCTTGCAGCCAGAACCCCTATTTTGTGTGTGTCAAGGACAAGTGTTGCGTGAGCGCTGCGCCAGAAATGTGTGAGCGCAGTAGCAGTTGTCGAAACCAAATTTTCGACAACCAATTTTCGAAAATGAAACAGAGTTGCGCGAACGCTGCGACAGAAATGTGTGTAAGTAATGCAACAACACAGCAGTAAAATTTGGCAAAAAAGCAGGTCCAGCGAAGCTGCAATGCAAGTAATCAATATGCGCGGATGTGCCCTTCACTAGTATTTACAAAAGTGCGCCAGAAAATTTTTCCTATTGGAGAAGTGCATGCTCAGTGTATACTGCGCCGTCGTGGCTGCCTGTGGACTTTCCGAGGCGATTCAAAGCCTTCCTCCAGAGCTTCGTGAGATGATTCTCAAGAAGTACATCGTGATAAAAATTAAGGGAAAAAAAAGGAAATGGGCTGGGACGAGGTACATGACGAGATTGAAGAGGCACCCATCTGCGAAAAATGATCAAGAATTGTTAAGGTCATGTTTTGCAGGAAATGCAACCCTTGCGGCCAAAAAGGAGAAAAACATTATCTTGGCTACCCCGTGTATGACGAGAACGACAACGCCGAAATCTTTCAGAAATGTTACTGAGAGGCGACGATATTTACCTTCGTTCGAAGCAAAAGTTTTGTTTTGAAATCGGCGAGTTGCGTGACATTTTTCTCAGAAGAC